GTGGTCGCGGCCGGCTGGACCGGCCTGGTGGGGAGCGCCGGGTTCCACCTTCGCCAGGGCCTGCGTGAAGCTGTCCAGCCCTGTCTCCTCTCTCCAGGCCGCGGAGGCTCTCCCAGTGATGACAGCGGGACCTTCACGTTGCAGCCACCTAAAAAAGCCTTCACGGGAAAGAAGCTCTTGTTGGGACAGGGTGCTGTCGTTATGTTTCTTACCAAGAAATCCTCTTCCTCTGCCCTGCCGTTTCTGGCCTTCATTTCACTTCTGACTGCTGCACCCGCCTTTCTTTAACTTGCCTGCCTCTTTTAAGCAACAAATCGGCTAACCTAGTATAAGTTACTCAGACTAATTTCCCCTGTCAGTTAGTATCTTGAGAAAGAGGGACTGAGTGAGGTAGGAGAGCAGCTTCTGGGCTGCTTAGGTTGCCGTGGCTATCATTGGTTATGAAAGTGGCTACATCCACTTATACTACTAAGAATACAAAATATGAAAAACATGGGGTTGGTATACGCTGTTGTCGTGTGTGCCGTACCCAGGTGTCGAATAACGTTAAATACTAAGCGATTTTTTGACTGTGTGCATGTGGTAGGAATTCAGTGCATTTTATGTTCCAGTTTATGACCAGAAATTAAACCAGGAATTCTGGTATTGTGTTAGGCCAGTTCTGGCCACCGTAGAGCTTTTGCCTTTAATTATACAGCTATTTGAGTAAGCATACTGGATACCACAGAGACAAGGTGGAAATTGCTGTCCTCGAGTGTCTTCAGAACAAGGACTGAAGAAATTGTTAATTGTTAATTATGGAGTTGTGTTTTACATAGGTTGTCCCTGGTATTTAGGAACAGACAACGGAGTGCACAGTTAAGTTGTCTTTGTCTGAAGGTGCAGGTAGAGCATAACCATGCAGATCTGATCTCGTGTGAAACTTGTTTGTTTGTTTGTTTGGGTATTAGTTTTCCCTCTAAGGCTACAGGTAGTCAGAGTTCACAAGGCAATTTGAAAGCCTTAAGAAATCTCTTAGCAGTCTTGTTTGTGCTGTTGGACAACTTACATCATCTCAGTTGGCCAAGTGCAGTCCTCCCCTTTTTTTTTTTCCTTTCCCCTCCCCCATCTTTATCCAGCACTGAGGAATTAAACCAGAACCGTGTCCTTCTCCTTTTCCTAATTTTTTAAAGCTTCTTATTTTCAGTCACTCTTGGGCTTTATTTTTTTCACTCCTGTGTGAAACAGGAGGGGGTCCCTGGGGTTAACAGTTGTTAACTACAGGGTCTTGATTGTGATACAGACAATCTAACCGAAAGCAGTACTGTCAGTCTGTTCATGAATGGATTTGCTGTGCTTTCATCTTCAAAACCATACCTTTTTTTTTTCTTAGTAGCAATAGTAAAAATAAACAGCTTTTCATAAAGTGTTTCCCTGGTTCTGATTTGTCACCTTCCTCTGTTTGTGACTGAAAAATGAGTAGGTCAAGCCTTTATTTGCAAGCGTGGATGGCAACTGCTGGTTAGAGTAATTGAGCTGTTAGTTGTGAAATCCAGTACTCTGTCCTCTCTAGAATTCGGATATTTGGATATTGCTATGACAACTGTACTTTTAACTCTTCAGAATCATGCTGGTCAGCTACAGTTGTGTGAAGTTTAAGATGTGGGGGATGGGATGAAAAGAGGGCTGGAAATTATGCTGATGCCACATAGAACAGTAATTCTCAAACAATTGTGTTATACCATATGGAGCCTGTTCCGGAGAATCGTAAATCAAAGTGCTGAGAATCATCTTTGAGGAAGTAGCAGTGGGTGGTCTGTGGAAGGAACTTATTGTAAATGGTCTGCAGAAAATGAACTTGCGGGAGTTGCTTTTCTGAATCTCGCTTAGGAAGATACTGTTGAGTTCGCTTGGACTAACTTGGTTCCTGTTGGGGTTTTTTGTGATCTCTCTAGTGTAAACAATACATGCTTTGAAAGGTGGTATAGTATTGCTCTACTAGTACTGTATTGTGTATTTGATATTTATATAAACTTTAGCTGACTTGGCTAATGCTCTTGTCTACTCATTTAGGGGAAATTAGCGATTGCTTAAAGCGGGTCTGCTTGAAACTTAATGCTGTGATGACACTCTGTAATCTTTTGTTGTAAAAGTATTGTTTGTTTCTCTTGCTCTGTGTATTTGTCTGCCTGTAAAGAACCCGCAGAAGAAAGGGTCCTTTTTCTCTAACGTTTTTGAAAGAGCTTAGAGTACAGAAGGTACTGTTGTTAACGGATGACATTACCTAGGAATGTAAGGTTTGGTTGTTTCCCTTGTCCCTCTCAACTTCCATTACCATTACCATTTGAAGTGTAATTGATCCTTGAGCGAGAGCTTAGGTGCTAAATCCTCTCCTTGCAGTTGTGTTCTCTTTTAGTACTGTAACATCGCTTAGCCCTGGGTTTGGCTTCTGGTATTTTCTAGACCCTTTGAATAGACCAGGGACTTTCTTAGTATAACATAGTAAACTGTAAAGCAGCTAAATTAAGTTAACTTTTGTTTTTGCAAGTTGTTCAGCACGGGTGTAGAGCACGTATCTAAGCATAAAGTTACTGTGCTATGTTGTATGTATTAGATAGGGGTGGAGGGGGGGACAAGATAGAAAGGGACTGTGTCCCACCTTCATTTTTTCCGGAATTTAAGGTACTTTCATTTTAGTTTTAATACAAGTCAGGCTTTTAATCCAAATCAAGTTTTGTAGCATGTTATTTTTTCACTTTCTACTCCCTTCGTGACTAGAAAACCATCCATTGGTGTTGGTTTTCTTTTGGAAGTAGCGATGAAGAGATTGCTTAAGTTTGTTGTGTGATGATGATGATGTTTGTCAATTTAATTCCCAGTAATGCCATGTGAACCATTGTGCCACATGAATACATGTTAAGTCCTTCAACTTTCTGATTGTCTTTGACACCTTTCATAAATGCTTCATTACCATTGCAGATGAAAATGTTCCCTGTTGGCAGTCAGGCTACACAGCGTAATTTAACATACGATTAAACTCTTCAAAACTGTTACAAGCTTAACTCCGTGTAAATCAAACAAATAGTCCTTTACAGTCATGAGTGAAGTTGTCATATTTAGGTAGTTCTTAATTTTGTCGGCACAGGTAAGCATTGTGTTCCTAAAGTTGTGAATAGCGCGTATGGCCAGGGTGCGCTGCACTAGAGACTGTGTCTGCACTAGTGACAAACTTGAAGAGCTGCTTTTTTTAAAAAAAGGAAAAAAGCACATTTTGGTAGAAATTTTTGTGACCCATGAAAGACTACAAAAATACCATTGGGATAATCCAGGTTATTTGCTGTGATTGCTCTGTTTGTTAATGTATTCTGGGAGGCTGGAGAAAAACAGACAGTACCCCTGACAGTGTAACCACTAAAAACTTTTTTACCAGCTGAAAAATGTGGTGTCATGACATAAAGCAGACATTGGTATGTCAGATTATATTTTTCTTTCCTAAATTAGATGTTAAGCACATTGGAAGCTCAGTAGGAGCTAGGAGATTCTGCCTCTGAGAGGCGATCCACAATGGATCGCTGCATGATAATATGTCTTTGTGTGAGGCAGTGACCCCCTAAACCTTGGGAACACAGAACAAAAAGCAATGCCTGAGTCACGTGTGTGAGTGTGTTGCTGTGCGGTTGTTTTAACGATTCCCAACTTTGCTGTAAGGAAAAGCTATTACTATTTGTGTAATAGCTATTGAACTGTTACATTTTGCTAGCCTAGTGCGATATACTGGACTGTATGATTTTGGTTTACTTAAATACACTAATTCTAAGATATATTAGTCTGGTCGCTGCAACATAAGCAACAGAGTTGTCCGTGCATTGAGGTTAATGAGAGAACTAGAGTGGGAGCTGACCACTATGATTGAAGATGAGAATTAAGGTAATGGGTGGAAAACAGAACGTGGCAGTCGATGCTTCTCTGCTAGTGCTGTACCAGCGCCTTGCAGCGTTACCTTCAAAATCTGCTCACGTGTAGCCTTTGTACTGTTTGTCACTGATACTTAAAGCATTTTTGTACTTGAGTATGGATTTCAAAATGCAGTCCTGAAAAATTTTATGGGAAAAAGTCTCTATATGGCAAAACATTTTTACACTGTGGAATGTGACATTTCTAGAAAAAATGCAGCGTCGAAGAAAACATGTTGTCTCAATAAAAAATAAGTCTCATGAGCGTGACATTAAACTATTTTTTGACAATGTGATTGGAGAAGATTTCAGAGGTAGCCTTAGTACTTGTAAAAATGTTCTGAATGTCTGTTGATCGTGATGATGAAATTAGCATGGGACAAATTGCTTAGAACAACAAGGGTGCAAGCGTGAGGGGACTCGAATTTCCAGTTGGGGATCTAAGATGAGGTTATAGTTTCACCAAGTACTGTTGAAACCTTTGGTCAAGTTACTGGCAAACATTGCGGTGCTCGGATGATCTTCCAATTTTTCTACATTTGATTATTGTCTCATTTTCTTTTTGATGTTACTTCAGAATTATTTTGTGAGTTCAGGTTTTATGTCTCGTGGAAAAAGATATGCATATTCCTTGCACTTTTACCACTTCTTATGCTGATTTTGAAGAGATCGAAATCTTGGGTTTGGTTTTGGGTTGGTTTTTTTTCCACCCCCTAGAAAAATATTTCCAGGGAGACTTAGTTCTGTGGAGTTCAGGATACTATATTTTTTTATGCATTTTCAGTATATCATGGGAAATGTTAAACAAAAGAACAGTGTGAGACAATGTGGGTAAACCAGGTCTTTAATGACTCTTGCTTCTTTGAAATACAGGACCATTTTTCTTCTTGAAAGTACCTTTCCAACTGTTACTTTCTTTATAATTACCTTTACAAGTACACTTACTTGCAGCAGGTTGTTGATTTGGGGGAGTGGGGGGAATGAATAGAAGAATGAAGAGGAAAAACCTGCCAAACTTGCTGCTGTCTGTAAATGTACTTTGTTTTGATCATCTCAGTTATTAGCAAGTTAACAATACACAGCAAGGAAAATAGTGCACTAACAAGGAGTACAGTAAAGGAAATTATTTGTATGGTCATGTGTGCTGTAAGGAATACTACTGGAATTTCTTTTTCCGCTGGAAATAATCTTTTAACATTGGGGTTCTTTGTCATCTATGTACAGTCCTTTAAGGATGAGCAGCCATTGCAGAATCGGGGTTCTTCTCAAGGGAAGAAGAAGGGAAATATAATTAACTTTGTTCTTAATTTAAGCTAAATAGTTTTTTCTTTGTTCAGCTTAGAGCAATAAATGTAGATCTCCAGACTGATGCTGCTCTGCAAGTGGATATCTCAGATGCACTCAGTGAGAGGGATAAAGTGAAATTCACTGTCCATACAAAGGTAAAAGCCTGCGTTTGTGTACTGAATGTTTTCTTAATTGTATAGAAAATAAAGTTTGATTAAACTGTGTATTGAAACAAGTGTAACATGACCCAAAGGAAATGAGAAAGTAGCATTATCTTGTGTTTTAGAGACTGTGTAGCTGCAGTGCTTAAGAAAAAGATGGCTAAAAAATTATGAGGTTAAGACACTGTTTAGAAAAAAGTGACATTCAGTTTTTTGTACTGATGCATTGTCATGCTATTCCCCTGCTTATTAATTGGCCTATTTGCAGGTAGAATCTTTAATATACCTCAGTATTCTTCTTGGATTAGGCATGGTTTCAGATTCTAAAAATACATTTCATAACGCAATTACATTCAAGAATCATTTGTATTTACTGCTTGTTTATAGCTTTTCTTCTTTTTTTAGATTTGAATGTTTATTGATTGCAGAATCACAGAATAGTTGAGGTTGAATATAATTTCTGGAGATCATTTAGTCCAGTCTCCTCCCTCACTCCCACCATTAAATCAGGGTGAACCAGAGCATGTTGCTCAGGACTTGTCTGTTTGGATTTTGAATATCTCCAGGGGTGGAGACTTCACAACCTCTTTGGGCAACCCATTCCAATCGATTGCTGCACTAATTAAGACAGGGGTGGTGATTGCTGTATGAACTTTTTGTGGGGAAAATCTTTGCTTGGATGATTGGATTATTTTTGCATGGATATTTTTGTTTGTTTCAGTAGTGGAAAACATTGTGGGTTTGGGGTTTCTTTGGTGCATGGGTTGCTTTTTGGGTGTTTTTGTTTTTTTTGTTTTTGTTTGTTTTTTTTTTTTTTTCTTTTCATAGTTCTTCCTTCGTCTTCCCTTCTAGAGTTCCTTACCAAATTTCAAACAAAATGAATTTTCTGTTGTCCGGCAACATGAAGAGTTTATTTGGCTTCACGATTCTTTTGTTGAGAATGAGGACTATGCTGGCTATATCGTAAGTATTACAGATCTGTTGGTTTATGTGCACTGTTTTCTGTGGGCTGTATCAAAAGTACTTGCGACTGCTTTTGAATGCAATGGAAATGGCAGATGTTCATTCCTTCTAAAATCAGATCAGATGCTCTAATTCTTCATTTTAGGCAGTTACACAAAATTAATGGTTGAAGCAAGCTTGAAGGCAATTTACGGTAGTTGTCATGCTTTCTTGCCTTTCGCTCCTAAGGAGTGAGTAGTTTAATCTGTATCTACGTGTATTTTTAGTCCACCGTGTTAAAAGTGTGGGAGAGAGGTGAACTGTATAACCTGGTGGTGTTCTTTTTGCAAGCTAATGTTTAACTTAGTTACAAGTTTTGTGTTGCCTTTGTTTTAGCTGGAACGGCAGAGTGCAGTAACTGAGCTGTAGTAATTAGACTTTTCCAGTTCTCATTAGGAAGATCAGAATCATTTTGCCATAAATCATTTGGAGGGGGAAAAAAAATAATGCAAATATTATCTAGAAGAACTACAGAAAACCTTAATACACAACTTAACAGCTTAGCCTTTGAAGTTTATTTCAGGCCTTCAGGGAACAGAGGTCCTAAAATAGTCACCGTAAAATACTTAAAAACAGGTGCTGCTGTTCATACTTTAATTACAAATAGGAATATTTGTCATCTTGGTGTGAAAGTTAGGTATTCATTTTGTGTTTGGGGGGGTGTCTACTGGTTCGGAAGGTAAACATATATTTCTAATTGTCTAGTGGGTGCATTACGATGAATATAATCTGTGATGTGTCACACCATTCTTGAGCTAGTCTTTTTTTAGTCAGAAAAGCTATTTGAAGTGACTAGACCTATAGTGTGGTAGTAACTAGTTTCAGACAGTTGACTACGTAGATGCTGGCTTTTTCTTTTTTGTAAGGTGTTAATGTAATGGGCAAATACCAGTGAATGAAAATTTAAGCATTGTCTAGCTTTGTTCTGTGTCTCTCTACTGATAGTAATTCAGGATTAGTTTGACTCTGATGTTTTCTCTTTCAATGTTACTATACTATATTACAAGATTAACCTAAAGACTTGTTTACTCTGTGCTTTGTTATTTCAGCAGATGTATCTTTAATGTCAGCAGTGCTTAAGAAAGTACTAGTGCCTGCAAACAATATGGAATGGTTTTGGAAGTTATAAATGGATGGTGTGAAAACAATTGTAGAATTCTTTTTTTCTTTAAACAGGAAATAGTCCTTACCAAATAAGCTAAACCAAAACCAATCATAAAATTATTTCAAGTTTTTATTCATTATAATAGAAAAGCTAAGTATTATTTGGTTTCTGTTGTAATTAAGCTACTGAAGCCATTAGTTAATACTTTAGTAATCTTCAAGGACGCCTGGCCAAAACTGGTGTAGAATGCAGCATCTCTAACTCATGAATGAGAGGCTTTATCTGTAAGTGCTGTAATGAATGATGAAAGAGAGAGTCATATATTTAAAAGCTGCAGGCAATCTACAGTTCCTGTACTGAATGGATGTTGTTTGACTGAGAAGATGAGCAGTTAAAAAAAATTTGATTCAATTCCAGATTCCACCAGCACCACCCAGGCCTGACTTTGATGCCTCGAGGGAGAAATTGCAGAAACTTGGAGAAGGGGAAGGATCAATGACTAAAGAAGAATTCACCAAGATGAAACAAGAACTAGAGGCGTATGTAGACTTGATTGCTACTTTTTTTTTTTTTAAATCCCTCAACTTTTAATGCTGTTTGCTGTCCCATGTTTCTGATTTCACTGTAATGGTTCTCTGTGCGATATAGGCTTGAGAATCCAGTTGCTACATAACCAGGGTTATCTTAGTGATCATGATCAGAGCCATTAGGAAAATTGTAGAAAGAATTCCATGGAAGATCTTCTGAAACGGGGAAAAAAAAAATCTGCTTGTTCCTGAGCATTCTTTTATAATGAAGTAACTAGTTAGATCCTGTTCTTCACAGAATACCTGCAGAGGGAGGAGGTAACATCTATCTGTTTTAGTTCTGATATTCCACATTTTATAAGCATAATGAGACTTTAAGGTTTATACATGTTTTGATTGAACTGGGGTTTTTTGCTTGCGGTTGGTACTGGAAACATAGATGCCACCCTTCTGTTCTCCAAGAAATCTGGAGATTACTAGAAAATACTGTTTTTTGATACTCCCCCCTTTTTTTTTTTTGCGCAAGGAGAATATACTTCCTGAAAATAGTATTTTCCCCTACTGTGAATTTAATGTGTATTGAAATACCGGCTCTAAGGCTCTTTGTTCCATACTGAGTTACACAGTGAAGTTTCTCCTTGCTTCATCCACTTTCCTTATCATGAATTCACTTCTTTGATCTTTTTACTGTCATTGGTTTCAGTTTTCAAGTGTATATTTACGCTGCTTCTAGACTGCTTCTATCAAGAGCTCTGAATTGGCAAGAAAAGTACATAGAACTCTTAGAACTGCTGCTTTCTCTCTGAACTCCAGCTGCTGTGAGCAGATGTCTTAAAAAGCTCTGTATTAGTGTTACGTACAACAGAACTTATAGCAGAGTAGATATACACTTCATATGCAGAAAACTGGAAATCAGCAAAACAGTATAGATTTTAAAGAATCTGTGGTTTTCCAGCGGCCCTGATCATGATTCTCTTGTGGTCTGGTTAGGGGTTGGATAACACAGAAAACTTTGGGTTTCTTCTACTGCCACCTCCATCCTCTGCATCCTCCTTTTTTGTCTTCACTGAATGACTACTACTCTCACTGAGATCAAACATCTCCCAACACTGGCCCTGCTGGTTTGCTGGTATGTAAATCTTAACCTCCTTGCACATAGTGGAAGCAAAAGTGTTGATTATCATTTCACCATTTGACCTCAGAATGGGGAAGACCCCCTTCCTCATTTCTAGACAAGTTACATCGCATCCATTGAGTTTGCAAAGCAAAGTGAATTCTAGCAAACTTGTATTGATAAGAATGCCTTCCTCTTAATTAAATCACAAATGAGTAATTCCATTAAAGTTGAGTTGGCTGAACTGAGCAGCTATGCGATTGTCATGGTTAAACATGATTTTTTTGGTTGTACCTACCAAATGCAGCACTTAATTTCACTTTTAGAACCACTATGAAGCAAGACATCCACGTAAGCATCAGCCCCAAAAGGCTAGGTGCTTTAACATGGAATAAAAGATTGCTATCTAAACAGCTAACAAAACTACATGAACATTTACATAAGTAAGGAGGGTGCAAATAGGCAAGGGGATGGAGATGGGGAGGAAGGAATTTGCACATCAGCTACATAGTGCCTAGTGACCATATCTCAATTGCTTGATTTTTGGGGAGTTGGGGAAAGGACAAATGAGGTTACACTTTCAGCAAACCAGTCTGTGTTAGCTAGCCTAAAAAATTAGAATGTATTTGTTGAGCCTTCATTAAAAGTCTCTGTAATATGTTAGGGCTTCAAATTTCCCCCTAGTATTAATATTGTACTGTTTGTTTATGTATATATCAAATATTGAAGTGATAACCTCGACTGTATCAGCTTACAATTTTGTATCCTTACTGAGAACCTCTAAAAGCTGCTCACTAGGCTTATCTCAAACTTCATTGCTTCATGTGAAATTCTCATGTCTGTCTTGTTTCTTGTTTTCAGTGAATATTTGGCTATATTCAAGAAGACAGTTGCAATGCATGAAGTGTTTTTGTGTCGCGTGGCAGCACATCCTATTTTGAGAAAGGATTTAAATTTCCATGTATTCTTGGAATATAATCAGGATGTAAGTATTAAAAACTCAATTGCTGGCAAGAAAAATGGACATGTACTTTTATGGTAGGATGGAAAATTGATTAAGAGAGCTTTACCTCCTGGAGCAAATTGCATTAATTCCTTCATACCAGACATAGTTGTATTGTAAAAGTTAGAAATTAGCTTAGTCCGTAGGAGTTCATTTGCCTGTGACCTGGGCAACGAAATACACTGTGTGCTCTAGCCTTAGCATCAAAAATATTAATGGGAATCCAATATGTTTTGGATTTAAAAAAATTAGCTTTTGGTGGTGATTTCACATGATGTTACAATTGTCCACTCTTTGATTGATTTTTTTTTTTTTTTTTTTTTTTCCCGGGGAAGAATGGTGCAACAAAGATGGAATGCTGATTTTTAGGATTTGGAACCATGGTTTAAATGCTGTTGCAGACAAAACTAGAGAGGATCTCTAGTTAAATGTTCTGATAAGTAAATCCTTTTTGTTAATGATATAGGTGAAAATGTGGTTAATTTTTTTTTTTGTAGCTATTGGACTAGTGTGGCTATCCACATTTCACATACTGAGTTACTATCTAATTTTGAGTGGAGAGAACTTTCTGGATTCACAGTAACTCTTTGGTGTTGGAGTTAGTGGTTGCTTGTATTCTGCAAACAGTTTTTAGTTGCTTTATAAAGTTGCAGAAATCAGCATTGAACATTGAAGAAATCATTACAAAGATGACAAGATTACATTACAAGATTACAACTGAGTACATGCTTAACTTCAAAATATGTTACAGAGGATCCTCTTGTTTCTGGATGTAGAAATGCTTACTGATTCAGGAACTCAGTTTACCAAAATTGGGCAAATTTAGATGGACAGGAAGAGTGTGAGGAGGCTGAAACCAGCATTATCCTCTGTGCAGTGAGGGGTAAATGCTTCTGTAGTTTCTGAAAGGCAAAGATCTGCCATTCTATGCTGATTATACTAGGTTAACAGCTATACAGTGAGTGGTAATAATTGCCTTATTGGTAAGTGAAATGCACACCTTGTACATTTAGTATTATCTATAGGTGCTAGACTGTTGCTGGTTTGGGTTTGTGGGGTTTTTTGTTTATTTATTTTGGGTTGTTTTTTCTGGAATAGTATTTTAGCTGATAGGGAACAGTCTAGTAAATGAGGTAGTCTGTCATTCTGGGTGTGTGGTGCCCTGTCCCCATTAATGCAGTGTGTAAGACTAAGCAGAGAGCAGGAAAACTGGTTTAGGAGTAGCAGGTTGTGATATGTAGTTCTATTTTTTAAAGCTTTTATTGCCTCCAGAAAATGAACTAACTTGATAAACAAATTTGTTTTTCAGTTGAGCGTTCGTGGGAAAAATAAGAAAGAGAAACTTGAAGACTTCTTTAAAAATATGGTTAAATCGGCAGATGGTGTCATTGTTTCAGGAGTAAAGGTGATTACTGCTTAACATATTGAGGTTTGAAATGTATTAACATTTTTCCCTTTTTTTAATGAAGCGGAATTTTACATAGCTGCAAAAAAGGGATTTTTGTAGCAATGTCTAACTTCATAATTGGAGGCAGAGCGTGGGAAGGAACCTGGGGCCCTGGATGCAAGATAACTGAGAGCTATCTGGTTGCTTCTGCGAAAGAGAGTTTTCAGTACTCTTTCCGTTTTATGAAATTAGGCATTTTTTTAATCTGTAGATAAGTGGTAATCTGTCTCTTGTTCTGGCCTGTCATTTTATATAGTTAGAAGGTGCACTAGCTTTGATGACTGCTGCAGCTCAGAAGTTACTAACACAGTGTGAATTCTACCAGCCTTGTAACATCCTTCTACTGCTTCAAAGCTAAGAGTAGCAGTAGAGGTGGTACTATTTTTCCCAGTAGATGCAAGAATGTAACTGAGACAAAGAAAAAAAGAATTTTAATGAAAATTCAATTTCATTTCAACTTTTCCAGAAGTTGAACGATTGATGGTATAACAAGCATAAATTCTGCAGAAGATTGTTTTGATCGCCTTTATTTCTAGTGGTAACTTTCCATTTGCAAGAAAATTAGAAGAGCTAAAATTCCTAGTTGTAAAATCTTGAGTTTTGAAACTGCTGGAAAGTGGATATAACCATGGATTAATTATGACTTGGAGAAAAATATAAAGTCCAGATAACCAGCAGTTTCATAAGCACATTGTTCAAAGCCCATGACGTGGGCTATTTCATGGTATTTAGCATCTGTGCTATTTTATTGGGCTTTTAAAAAGAAACGTAAACTGAATATCTCAAATTGTAATACAGAAAATATTAAAATTTAACTACATTTACCAGCCTGCAAAAAATCTGTCATCAAGATCAGCATTCCTGAGCTAGGAGTTCATATCTCTGCTGTGACCGCAGCATTTGTACAATGGGGTGTCTTTCTTTCCCGCTCCTCTTTTTATAGGTAGATGTCCTTTTATTAAGTACTTGACATTTATTCTATTTTTCTGTCACCAAACTGATAGTTAGTAGTGAAATTATTTGCTTCACTTTAGGTTTAGTTATCTAGACCTTTAAGATGCTTGTTACAAATTCTGAATAAATTCGTGATAAAACTTCAACTCATGATAAAGTAAGTGAAGAAGAAATCAGTTTACATAAATGGTGTTTTGGACAATAAAAATAGATTGCATTTCATGTCACAGCAACAGCAATGTATGTAAATTTACTCTGCAATTGCTCTGTACAGAGTGAGTGAAATAATGTTTTTTAAATTTTTCTTGTTTTTTGTAGGATGTGGATGACTTCTTTGAACATGAAAGAACATTCCTTGTAGAATATCACAACCGAGTCAAAGATGCATCTGCCAAATCTGATAAAATGACAAGATCACATAAAAGTCAGTTACTTTTCCAGGGTGAAAAAAGTACTTGTTGAAAGTGTACAGAAGTGGTTTGTGAGGAGCAGTAATTTCTAGGGTTTATTTTTGCATGTGAAAAGTGAATTAATTTCTCTAAGTGTAGTCTTTGGTTAGTCTAAACAATTTAAATCTGACTTTCAAAGTTCAGCCTTTGCTGTAGATGGAGTAAGAACAGCCTGATGTTGATACTGAAGATATCTTGATTCTTTGTGCTGTCCCTTTGAAGAGACACACACTTTATGTAATAATATTTTTTGAAGTCTGATTCTTAGTGTTTAAAATGTAAAGGTGGGTAATATAGCAGTAGAAGTGATTTTATTCCTAATGAAGATGCTCTTGTTTGGATGAACTTGCATTCATCAGAATGCAATTTCTTGGCACACTAGGCTTTGGATTACCTTGCTAAGCAGCAAACTCCTATTGACGCCATTAGTTCTGGACTGGGAAGACCATACAGCTAGGCATTCACAATCCAGGCGGTTCCTACAGAGCATTGATGATAACTTTCTGATGCAAGTGGTGGAGGAACCAACAAGGAAAGGCACTCTGCTGGACCTTGTATTAACAAACAAGGAGGGACTGGTTGAGGATGTGAAG